GGCTGCACGTAAGCACAGCAGCTTGCTTGTCACGTGATCCATCCTCCCCGAGCACCGCTCCAGGCAGTGCGGATACAGGAAGGGATGCCCAGCGCCCGGGTCAAGAAAGAGGGAGGCAGCAAGATAGAGTTCACCTCTTTCTTCTCCAGTAGTATACCCTTCTAAATGTAAATTAATCTTGCAGACATATATGCAGATACTTTTCACATTAAACTCACTGTCACTATTCATTTATGTAAAACTAAACAAGCGTACAACTGCTCAGCAAATTGGGACATTGCATTAGAAATACAAATAAGGTCCTTGATTTGGCGTAGGTATGACGTTATCATCTGTTTCTTTGGTCCATCAAATACAAGTACATTGGTGCAAAGCACTACACAGAGAAACAGAAACGCTACTTAACCTTGGATTCCCACAAAAATGGCTAAAGTAATCCTTTGGGGAGTTTTTACAATTATTTGAAGTTATGCCCTGGTTTTTTCTGATTTTTTTTCTCCGTATTTACAAACACACGTTATGAAGGGAAAAACAAAACCCCTTTAAATGTGTACATACCTGAAGCAAGGCCTGCTAGAAAAGCTGCACCAAGACTAGACATGTCTGCATTCACAGGTTTTTCTATTTTCTTATTAATTAAATCTGAAGTCATCTGCATGACAAAACTATTATTACTGACACCTCCATCAGCTCTATACAGAGAGGGGAAGAAGAAGTTAAGAAAAAAAAAAATGCATTTAGTTCAAATGCTTATTGCCAACATTCCAGAAAACAACTTCTGGAGTTTCACACCTATGCATAAATCTTCCTGTAACTCATGCACAAACGCATTTCCATTTTAGAGGCAAATTTAGAGGGGGGGGGTGGGGGAAGAATGCCTATAAACTGGGGGAGAAGTAATAGGAATGTAGAGGACTAATGAAAATGACAACTTTGTAGGAGCCAGACACTGGGAGGAAAGGAAGGATACAGGACAATAGCTAAAAAGGGAATGAACATATTTATGGGATAAAAGCAATGAAAAAAAAATCAAAGGTAATGGATAGATACTAAAGATGTGCAGACAAAAGGATGGGAGAGCAGTTTACAACCTTACTGAAAAAGCCATTAAGTGTATCTCATTATCTTCTAATGCTTAATCCACAAGCTGAATTGCTACTGATCGTAGTTAACTATTATAGGCACTCTATGAAACAGCAATTTTATATTAATGAATTAAACAGAACATGATCGTACAATTTAAAGTTTACATTACAGCGTAAAGGGGATCAGAATTCCAGTGTTTCCTAGGCAGTACTTCCACATTTCCCATTTTTCAGTTTGCAGTCTTAATGTGAATTCTCAAATTCTGGATGCAATTTTCTATGTAAAAAAGCTTCCTAAGGAATCAAAAATTCCAATGCTTTTGATCTTTTCCTCTTCGTTAAAACCCCAAGCCTGGCTGTTCCTTCATCTTTGCCCACTCTGTCCCAGTACACGATGGAAGACAGAAACTTTTACCTCCCCCCACCTTGCACTTTCATCTTTCTTCCACTACTCAAAATTCTGATTTCTCAACTGTCTACATGCCTGCCAGTCCACTTCTTCCTTTGCACGGGTATCAGGAAAAAAGCCACAAGAGGGACAGGAATGCTCGCCTGTCTGTTCTCGACCATGGTATCACGGTGACCCCTGGCTGCCAGAAGGAGAAATTTTGGAGAGCTTTCTCAGCATGAGAGGACTTGAGGCTCTAAGACAACTGCTGTGCCCAAACCAAATACCTACTGAAATGTGCAACATAATTTTCCAGCAACGCATAATTCAGCTAGATTTTTCCAAGACATTGTGAAAAGCATATTCTATGAATCAGTTACCTCATTGAATTTGATTTGCGTTGTCAAAGACTGAAGCAAAACCACTGTCTTAATAATTGAATTTTAAAAGTATTCTTCCTTTTTCCCTCACAAATAGATCCAGTTTTAACTGACATCTTCAAAAAATATTCAGTCTGTGACAGAGCCAGCACAAAAAATTTCAGTATGAAAAAATGATAACAAAGTGTAGAATTACCTTTGTGGTTGGCATTGCTATATACACTCTAGTGCTACCTGAAAACATGAATTTGCCCTTTTTTTAAATTTTAAATAATTAGAGCAATTAATTACTCGCCTACTGACAATCACCAATGCCAATAGTTTAATTAAGAACTAACCCTTTTGTGTGTAGACTCTACTACTTGAGTTACATTAATATTTGACTTGGTAATCATCTATTTCTCAGCAGCAGAATTTTTACAGTAAGATAAAAATGCATAATAAAGTTCACACCTATTTAAAGTCAAACTCCCACATATCAAATTCAAAAGTTATATGGAACTTACCGAATAGTTTGAAGAGGAATGCGTATGTTCTTCACAATGATATCATAAAGCAGTTTGTTTCTTTAAAAAAATATTTAGTTGAATTAAGCATTATATATTCCATAAAGTGTTTCCAGTATCTACATAGTCAGAAAATAGAATACAAGGCAAAAAATGCCTCAGTTGTGTCAGAACTGCTGCAATAGCTAACAAGTTTCCACAATGCATGAATTAAAAAAGACCCAAACTGGTCTTGGTTACACATCATTACGAAGGCACGAGTATGGCTAAAGCACGGCCCGCTCTATAGCAAGTCACTGTAGAAGGTACACGTTTCCCACCTGAAATTGCTGATAGGTTTCTATAGACAAGATGCAATTTTTGGTCTAACAAGTGGTTTAGAGTGAGGAAGGTAGGCTGACAGAGCGTTAATCAGAGTGTACCCAGCTGTTCTTTAAAGGGAACATCCGAAGGCTGCAAGTTTGACTTGTTCTGAAACAATTTCATTTAATGGGAGAAAATCTAAATACAAAGGATCTCTACCCTTTTCTAGGTAGGTATTTGAATGAGGTGAGATTCTCAGCATCCCTGTTTTGAAGAGACCCATGCTTCAGTTCAGGAATTACTGCATCTCATGTTCCTCTTACAGTGCAGAAAAAAATGCATCAGAAACAGTTGCAGCAATTCAGAATGTTACCTTCCTCCAGACATCCTTTTTGCCTCTTTGCAGGAGGTTATTGCACCCAAAGCAGAGCTGGTGACTAGATGGAAGGAATCATATGAGTGTTCCCTAACTGGCCACAGTGCAGTTTCAGCCAGGCTCAAACCATATTCAACTTCAGTTCGAGGCATGCTGGGTGGGTTTGCAAGGCAGAACAAATCTGTTCCACAGTGTGCTACTGATGTGGTATCGTCAGTGACTAGCAGTAATATCTTTAACCTTGACAGTTAGATCTGGAAGGTGTTGCCCATTCACATCTTTAAAGATGTTTAAGATGCCTATTACTGTGTTTTACAGAAAAACAAAAATTCAAACTTTAGCCAAAGAGCCGATATAAAACTTCCAGCTTCAGGGATACTTTAAACACAGCTGGAGCGGGCTACTGCTTCTGATAAAACACTGTCAGGAGAGTAAGGGCAAACTTTGAAAACATTTTTAGAACATGCAGAAAACAATATAATTTAAGAATCCCTATGTGGTTACTTAGTAAGAAAAACTCTGAACTAATAAATATACACGAGTTTATTTGTAAAGTGTTGAAGAAAAAAAGAGGAAAGCTGCTAAAACTCCTTTTCAGTGTAACAGTAATGGATTATTTTACAAACTGCAGAAGTCCATGTATCCATTTAACACTGCTGATCAAAAGAAAAGCAAACATAAGAAAATACAAACAAGATAAGTAAGTAAGCAGTACCTGAAAGCTACAGATTCCAATATGGCTCGTACAAGATGGTTTCTGGTAGTGGAAGGTTTCAGCCCCATGAAAGAGGCACATAAATAGGGGTCATTCACAGAAACCTGCAGGAAAGATTTCACCATGAGTTCAGAGAATTGTATTTGTAGGCTTTTGAGAAAGGAGTCAAAGAATAAGAAAAAAAAATAACTTACGACAATTACAGGCAGCATAGTGAAAGGAGAAAATTGAAAACAATATGTAAGATGTATATACTATTATTTTAGCTAACTCAGTGAACAGTTTATTTAAATAGCTTCTTTCAACAGGAAAAAGGTTTAAGTGACTTCTTCCAAATCTGACATACTAAATAACACTAATCTGTATGAATTCTCTTTAGAATACATATAGTGTACACTTCAAGTGTCTAGGACAGGGCATACTGATATTGCTGTTCTCTAGCAAGATTCCACACACACACTTTTTTTTTTTTTTTTTAAACACTCCTGAACTGCTGAAAGAAAGATGAACTGACTTTTAAAAGTAACACTAAAAAGGATGGTTAGTACTTTTTATTAGTTTATACTACAGCCTGTTTTCAGTGACGCTGGTAAATGGAGTCCAACTAAAATTCTAACAGTCACTAAGTTGTCTTTTTTTTTTTTTTTTGCAGAACTGGAGGATCAATTGATGAATCTCCTCTCCATCCCTCCACTCCTCTGATAAACTTTATCACAAAATATTAGTTTGCTGGTCCGTATCAGGTTTGTGATAATTTTAAATCTTATTTTCACTGCAGACAGTAATTTTTAAATTGAAACAATCCATTCCAGTTGTACGGTGCTATATATCAGTTATGACAACACTCACCAGAAGTTTGAATTTCATGCTTATAAAATATATACACACACATATTTATAAAGTAAATTAAGAAAATGCTAACATATGTTAAAAAAAAAAAAAAAGCATGGATAGGTACATACAGCCAAAAGGAAAACTGGCATTTTGCAAAAGTTCCTAACCAGAAGAAACTTCTCCATTACAGTAACAGAAATTATTCTTTTTTTTTTTTCCCCATATGCAAGTACCCTTCCCATTCTAAAGATCCATGGCTTCCAAGTTTACAGATTTTCATATACAAGATAATAAACTAAAAAGCATAGACTCATATTCTACATAAGGGTGAGTATCTTGAAAGAATCAATCACTAAAAAAAGAAAAAATTAGCAGCACATATATATGCATACACCCCAATGAAGAGTCCTAAGTTTTTGCTGTTACTACTAACCACAGCAAATTAACCCTGGAAACACCTGTTTCTAGCAGAATGAGTAAGAGGAAAAATGATTAATGCACATATTCACTCAATTTCAAATCCACATTTGCAATGATGCTCTTCTCAGTGCGCTGCATCACAGCGCTAGAATCCAGTAAGAAAGAAACTTTGTTCTTATTGCCTTAATATGGATGAATAGAGAAACATTTTACTCTGTAGAAAATGAACATACGGGCTTCATAAGAACCCTCCCCACCAACTATCATTTTCAGGTCTGAGAAACATTACCATACAATCAATTTGTGTTAGCATCTAGCCAGTGAAGTTAAGGAGACATGTTACAGTCCCAGAAGTGTTCAACTGTTCATGTCCCCTTTCGTACCATTTAATCCACTCAGTTTCTAAATTGATACAGAATCTGTTACTGTGAGTCTACTAGCGAAGCACGTTCCACTGAAATAAGCAGGGCTTTTAAAAGGCAAAGAAATTCACATTGGTGGATACTATTAGTGGTAACTAGATGTAACAGTTAAAGAGAAATCCATTCAGTTTTGCATGTACAGTTTCTAAATCTGGACTGGAAATAAGAGAATTGGGGAAAAAGAGACTGAATCAATGTTTACCAAGAAGCTAGCTGGGGTTCCTTCTGGAGACAGTGTCAAGAAAGCAAGTGGGATACAAACCACAAAGCAAAACAAAAACCAACCAAACAAAAAAGATGTTTTCCCAACATCTCTAGAACTTGGATATTAATAGGATTAAAGGTTAAAAAAAAAAATTCAGACTAACGTTTGTCTACCTCAGGATTCCTGTCTGCAAATATTGAAATTTGGCATGGCTCAACATTTGCTTATTCACAGCACAATTACTCACAGTAAATGCTAAATGGAAGCATCTCAGCATAATCAAGCTTTATACCCCTAAAAATAAATAGAAAGATTAGGTCATCTGTTTGAGAGAAGGTAGCTGGGCTACCTGCAGAAGGAATGAAATTTTTCTTTGCCTTATTCCATTAACATACAGGACTTACACAGGATTTTAAGTTCCTTTAGAAAAAACACTAGTCCTGGGAATGATCAAACTGAGTACGGTAGACCAATGAAGATCCAAAAAAAAAAAAAAACCCCCAAAAAAACCAAAACAGCAAACTGTTGGACCCACACAAGAGATGAGCTGTCAAAAACATTCCATGTAGCTCTAAAAAACTAACAAATTACTATCTAAGACTTCTAAGAGAAAAGAGAAGGTGGTGATTTTTGAGCAAAAAAAAGAATACTGTTTTCATCTTTATGGCTTTTCTTTGTTTAACACAGTAACTTTTGAACACCTGAACAGTTCAAACATCAGTTGTCTATATATCAAAGAACCAGCTGATGGCAGACATTACCCATCCCCCACAGCACAGCAAAGCTTTCCCTTCATCTTGGCTGGTCTATCTGCCCAATACAGTTTATAATGCTAATATTCCAAATGACAACTTGGAGACCAGGGGTACACCACAGAGTTTCTCCTGGACAGCAACACTGATTAGAAAAACAAAGTTTTGTGGAGACATGGATATTTTCATGTTGACAAACCCACAATGTAGAAACAGCTATGCTGCTGAAAGCATGCTTTTAGTCAGATTATCTCATGTTGCTTAGGAAAGTGGCATAACTAGATGAAAAAGTTTTGGGGCTCTGCACAGCCCCTAAGCTAGCAATGGCTACATTAGCAAAACCTCTTTATTTTCATTCAGTATGAAGGTTTGTCTAAGAGCTCTGACTTGCTACTCTGTGATATTTTGTGGTGACAAATTACAAACTATTATTACCATCAAACCCGTACCAGAAGCAACTGTTGTGTAGCTGAATAGGCAGTATGTCAGCTCCCCAGCTATCACAATTTGTCATTTAATGTAATGTATTAACTGGAATTCCCATCAATCCCAATCTAGACTAATACGCTAGACTGAACTGCAGCATCAGTATCATCCTTGTTTGCTGCCTCTGCACAGGGACAGTAACTCACATCTGTAATGAAACTCAAGAGGGATCATGAATCAGAGGTGGAAAGGACAGACACGAGGATACACAAGTCTCTAGCGTAAATGGAAAGCACCCAGAGGGGATCAAGTAATTGCAGGAAGTTCCTCAAATAGAGCAGAAGTTAAAAGCAAGCTACTGGGAAATGGAGGGGACTAAAAAGGAGAACAAATGCTAGGAACTCCTTACTATACAACACTGTGTTCAGCAATGAGGCACAAACCCTATTTTAAAGGGAAAAATCTAATTCAGATTAAAATACGCGTATTGGAGAAGTGTCTAAATATTACTATCTTTGCTTTTCATAACACCAGGACTTGCAATCTTGCTCATAGTTAAGTACATTTAAGTATTCTGATGAATTGTAACCTACGCCTTGAAAAGAGGCAGAATAAAATGAATTATTTTAGAACAGTGCTTAGAAGGCTGGACTGATGGGCCAAGGCCAACTGTATGAGGTTTAACAAGGCCAAGTGCCAGGTCCTGCACTTTGGTCACAACAACCCCATGCAATGCCACAGGCTTGGGGAAGAGTGGCTGGGAAGCTGCCTGGCGGAAAAGGACCTGGGGGTGTTGGTCGACAGCCGGCTGAACATGAGCCAGCAGTGTGCCCAGGTGGCCAAGAAGGCCAACAGCATCCTGGCTTGTATCAGGAATAGTGTGGCCAGCAGGAGCAGGGAGGTGATTGTCCCCCTGTACTCGGCGCTGGTGAGGCCGCACCTGGAATACTGTGTCCAGTTTTGGGCCCCTCAATACAAGAAAGACACTGAGGTGCTGGAGCGTGTTCAGAGAAGGGCAACAAAGCTGGTGAAGGGTCTGGAGCACCGGCCTTATGAGGAGCGGCTGAGGGAACTGGGGTTGTTTAGCCTAGAGAAGAGGAGGCTGAGGGGAGACCTTATCGCTCTCTACAACTACCTGAAAGGATATTGTAGTGAGGTGGGTGTTGGTCTCTTCTCCCAAGCAGCTAGTGATGGGACAAGAAGGAATGGGCTCAAGCTGCGCCAGGGGAGGCGTAGATGGGATATTAGGAAAAATTTCTTCACGGAAAGGGTAGTCAAGCATTGGAACAGGCTGCCCAGAGAGGTGGTGGAGTCCCCATCCCTGGAAGCATTCAAAAAACGGGTAGACGTGGCACTTTGGGACATGGTTTAGTGGGCATGGTGGTGTTGGGTTGATGGTTGGACTGATGATCTTAGAGGTCCTTTCCAATCTTAACGATTCCTAGTTTTTACTTTCATTATAAATAATCCAGCCACCAAGCCAGGAAACATGAAATTGCTACTCTACCCTGAATTGGTTTAGTGGTGGACTTGGCAATGTTAGGTTAATGGTTGGACTGGATGATCTTAAAGGTCTTTTCCAACCTAAACGGTTCTATGATTCTATGAAATACTGTCTCAATGAAGGCTTTTGCATGAGGCAGAAAAGCTGTGGGATTGGTTTCTGTCTCTGCAGGCACTGCCTGAGTTACTGTAGGCAAGTCATTTAGTTACCTGTCCCCCAGGTCTCCATCTGCAAAATGGAAGTAATTTTCCTATTTTGTAGGGTTTTTCTCATGGGGGGGTGGTGTTTAAGCATTCTCATATGACAATGTTCTTCATACATTGTGGTGAGGGACAGAGAATAAGAACCTGAGTAGTACAGAATAAATACTGTGATAAGATGAAAATTACTACATTTAAACACGTACAAGTTAAAATTTTAACTGGGTTATTAAAAATATATTCTCAATTGTATTAATAATAATTTTACCTGAAAATCTGGAACAAAACAAACGCCTTGAGAATCAACAATACTCCGTGCCATTTTTTCTGTTTCATCTACATTGGTGAAAAGATCTGTAACGATGCATAAGTCATATGCTTTTATTATTTACTTCAATTTCTTCATATATTACTAAGAGACAAAAATCTAGAGTCAGACTACTTCCTTCTGTAATATTCTTGAACTACATGTTCCAAGGGAAACGATCACTTCTCCTGTATTTCATGTCCATCAGTCACATTAAAAAAAAAAAAATCCTATTCAGATGAAGACTAAATTCAAAAGGATCCTCTCGTATCTATTATGCTACAGCCTTTTAATCTTTACATGCTGTAAGCAGTCATTAGCTGTCCAAATGGACATAAATGGGAATTGAGAATGCTAACAATGGCACCCTAAGTATGCTAAAAACCTAGATTTGCAAAACATAAAAAATGTTTCCCCCCCCCAAATATGTTATTGTCAGCCGAAGCACCAAATAACTAGAGACAGTCCTTAATACCCATCATATTTTATCAGCACCCTTAATATTTTTCCAGGTGACTGACACATAAATATAAATAAGGTAGGTCCTACTACCACCTCTGTGACAGACACTACTTTTTTTCTTTGTCTAGCCAGATGTCTCTTTTCACAACTCTGTAGCCGTCCCTCTTCAGCTTGTTCTTTACCCACATGCAGTTCTTGCACTAACACCCATCTTCTGTAGTTTTAGCTAATAATGTCCTTATGTGGCCACATAACATGTTTTTACAGAAGACTAGAGGTCTCCTGTAAATGAAAGCTATTGCTTTTCCTTGTCTAAAAAGTAAATTTTCCTATCAAAGATAAATTAGGTTAATCTAGCTCAATTTATCTTTGAAAAACCCATCTTGATAACTTACCAGGAGTTTCAATTTACCTTTGTAGCCTTCAGAAATTTGTTTGAAAGCTTTGGATTCTACTGTGCCCAGACTAATAAGCCTAAATATCACATCTTGTTCTTCTTCTTGTATTTGCTATTACTGAACTGTATATAGTACCCTCTGTGTCAGGACAGAAAATGAAAAAATTAAGTAAGATTGACTTCACCTTGAAATTACAGATACTACTTTTTCAAAATTCTTAGAAGTGATCTGATCCCACTAAAAGCAGCCCACTGAACTAAGTTTGTCTTGCTGCAAAAATTCCTATTTCCAAACATTTACCACTATTATATGTCTCATCTTTGTGCATGTTGAGCCTCACCATCTTCACTGAGGCCATTAGCTTACCTTGTGTTTTGGCCCAATGCCTTCTATAGAGCAATGTTTTACCCTTCTCTTTATCTGTAAAGCTGATACAAGTTTCTGAATTCTGCTTCTCTGCAATCATATCTTCAGAACATAAAGGTCTTATTTATTAGAAAGTTTATAGCAGCATGCCTATTTTTTTATGTCCCTCTAAAACTTCCCCAATTTTTGCCTGTGGTAACAACTGTAGGTCACATCCATTTCACTACTGGCTAGCTAAAAATCCTTTATACTATTGCTCTGCATATACCAATAATATCCATTTTAAGAATGGATAAGTTCTATATGGATAAGTGTCCATTTTAAGTACGGAATTTGAAGTAGCAAGCTTATATACGTACCACTCATACTTGTGTCTGCAGCATGGAACTGTGTATTGAATTGAGTAATTTCCTCAAGACTAGTGGCTGTTATTCTCTAGGCTCAGTCAAATGTTGAATGATGAAGACCTGAGGACCGATCTGAGTCATACTTAATCCTTAAAGGCACATACATGAGCATGTATATGCACATATGCATCAGAAGTTGACAGCTTCAAGAAATGTGGAATTTTGTGGTGAGCTATACTTCAGGAAAACCTTTCCCAGATAACCCAAAGTTTGAGACACTAATTCCTTTTTTGTACCCTAGTAAAGGTGTACTAAATTTCTAAGTAAACGTTTATTAGAACACTCAGAAAAGGTTGTCCTATAAACAATCAGTGGTTTTGAACATCAACTACTAAGAGCTACTATTTTACTTAGCCTTTTATTAATCCGGAATGCAAATGTTTTCATTATGTAACAGTCACAGCCAAAAGGCACATTACTTCTATGTGAAGCAACATACACAACACCGTTACTTTTAAAAATAAAGTTCTTTGTGTTATTTTCATACAACTCAAACCTGTTACTAATTCTGAGATGTACAGCTAGAGATCTCTCAAAAACATTACAGCAACTGTTTGTGGAATACTGCATTTACAATTATGCTACCTAGACTTAATTGGTAGCCACTTTCTGTGCTTCTCCTCAACTGAAAATTCAAGTCCAAATACCCTAAACCAACACACATCTAACTTTAGACAGGTCTCCTTTACACCATTTCTATTCAAGTCTGGATACCAGGTTAAAAAAAAACAAAAGAAGGCATCAGGAAGTTTGTCATGCTCAAGAGAAAGCAAGTGAGGAGTAAAATGTTTCAGGAAAATAAAAGCCTACATAGGTGGGAGGTTCTGAGAGGCAGAGTGTGATGAGATGATTGTGCAAACGAAACTTGCTGCAGCAACACACTCAGCAGAGAACCTACTGAGACTGTGCATTTTCTGCCGTCCAAAACATATAGGCTAGTTTCTTCAATTATGGATAATAAAACCAAGCCCAATAACATAACTAAAACCCCCTAGAACAGTTTCTTAAGTAGTAACATATTTTACCCTCTACAAAATTAAAGAACTACTTACTTATATCCTGAGCCCATTTTATGGCAGTACCAACATCTGACAAACCGCCTTCAGTTAAGTAAACAACTTCTTCCCCAATCTTCCAACCAATCAGTGGATACAGACCTTAATTATTTTCCATGAAACAAAACAAAACACCTAGTTAAATTAAAGTTTCCAGAAAAACATATACAAGTACCCCCCACAATAAACCGAACTATAAAAAAAGGTAGTTTTTATTCAATTCCTTTGCAGAATTCAAGCTAAAAAAAAAATGTCACTGATAGAGGTTAAATGTATTGTTTAAAAATTTAGTGATGGAATTACAAGAGACTCAAACAACAGTTTTTTAAACGAAAGTTAACCTGAAAACAAAATTCACTATCCAATTACAAAAAAAAAAAAACAACCCCGTCTTTAAGCTAGAGAGAAGTGCTATCTGCACTTACTTTCTTTTAAATGATAAGAGATTGTATACACTTTAAAACTTATCAATGTTTTCCTATTTGTTTTCAGTCTATCTAATTTGCCCCAATGGTTTCTAAAAAGTCAGAATTTACTTCCCGAGAACATAAAACACGAAAGCTGAGCTTTCAGATGGGAAGCACAAATACTAAAACAGACACATACACAGAAAAAAAGCAACACAAACTTAGAACATAGATCTTATTCATAGAAGAGGATGAGTGATATACGTTTTTTATTCCTTTTTCAATATGCAATGATTCCTCATGTAGAAAGCAAAAAAAGAAAACAGGTTTCACAATTTGTATATCCTTGTCTCCAACAAAGGCTATTGCCAGTTAACTATAGCATTTTACCTGTATGTTTGCCTAATATGAACAACAAAAGAAACATCCAAACTCATTAAAAATATTTGGTGATATACTTTGTCTGTAACTACAGAAGATTAGCACTTCTATGGTTTACATGATGGCATTTTCAGGAAGTTATGATTTCCACCAAACAGTCTGGGCTTTGTAGTGACTCAAAAAATAAATTCAACAACTTCTAATTTTTTTTTTTCCCTTATCTCTCAGAAGAAAGACAGAAATACACAGGGCAAACACTGTTAGTTTATTTGAAAACACAGTACAGCGTCTTTCAAAGAGCTGTCTGCTTGAAGATACTATTACATTAGAAATAAATAGCCAATAATGAGGATAAACCTGACGATTTGTCCTCCCCTTTGCCCCCCCACGGATACGTTGAAACCTTAACAAAGAAAGGAGAGACATACTACTTAAAACTGTCAGTGTGAACACAAAGACCTTCTTGTTTGATATCTGTATTAGCATGGACATAGCACATAAGTCCTGCAGAGTACTGCTTTTAATGCTAAAGCAAAAAGACTTCATTATCTAGCTGAACAGTAGATGTTCTCTAGCACTGCAGCTGGACAAATGTTTTTTCAGTCACTCAATAAGAACCTAAGCATTCAGTGGCCACTGCAATAAAAACTTCACCCAACCCAAGTACGGCAACTGTTGGAGTGAAGAAAGCACCCAGAACCTATGGGACCCTGCTCAGGACTCAGAGATCATGGGTAATGCAACCAAGGTAAATGAGTCCCAACAATTACACGACTAGAAAAGCATCATAAGGATCTAGGGATTCTCTCTACTTTCTCAAAGTGACTTTGCTGATATACAGGTGTCACTCACAGAATCATCTCCAGTTTGCTTGCCTGTGTCCAAGAGTGGCATGGTAATACTAGTGCAATTGCATAAACTTGGTTAGTGCTGGAGGCACTCTGGTGCTTACAAGGGAAAACAATTAGCAGTACCTATTTAGATTAAAGCTTGTGTTTGTATTTGTCTCTTGAAAGGAAAAGGTGATATACATATCTCCAGATCCTTGGTGCAGGTCTCCCTACAATCTTTATTTTCTACCAAAGGTGAAGCTGCAAAGTAGCAAGACCAAACAATTCATTGAGCCAAAAGTCCTAGAGAAGGACAGCTAATCAGGGACAGAGAAGTCCATCAGGTGGCCTTCCTAAAAATGCTCACACCAGAATCTCTAGTAGTGTAAGATAATCTGCCTCTAGGGAACAGATCAATGTGACATTTGGCATGACCACAGTTACTAAGAACTATCACAATGCCAGAGAAGTAGATTTAAAATCTATACAACATGTTTCCATCATTGAATTGTGAGAAGTGCTGTTCTCAAAGGAACTATTTTTTTTTCAAACTGTCATATATAGCAACTAAATGCAGATCAGAAACTAGAGCAGCAGCTAATGAATAGCTTGCACAAGGATGCTGTAGGGATTCATCTTGCAGTCTTAAATACATATGTCAACGTTAAAGATTGAACACATTACATTTCATGCCCAGGGCACCGAGAAAGCTAGGTACCTAACTTGTCCTACTAATCATACCACATGACAGCCAAAGAACACAGGGAAAATAATTTTAACATAAATAACAGCCCAAAGCAGTAGAAGTTTCACAGCACTGCCTTAAAGATTTCAACTCCTATCAAATCACAACAGCCATATATTTTCTTAAAAAAAAACAAAATGGAAAAACCTTACAGCATGTTTTGCTATTACACTTCCACAGACTATATACATCTGATTTCCTAAGTAGAAGTATCATCATAATGACATCATTAATTAGCCTAAAAAACATTTGCATTCGTAGGGAATTCAATGTCTGTGCTATTCAGTCTGACATATCTCCTGTATTTGCCAAGGTCCTTCCAGACTTTAGCTGGTAAAAGTCTCCTTAGCACACTGCTGTCCTCCTCCCCAGCCCCACCCTTCCCATTTTAAATTGTGGGCTTCCTGAAATTAACAGCTGTTTAAAAATATGACAGACAGAGAGAGACTGCACAGGCAAATTTACTTCAGTATCGTCTGTTGCGCTCTTGACAAACAGCCATCTATGACAAATTAACAAGCTTGACAGAGCACAAATGTTCAGAACATGAAGTTTTAAACACTAGAAACACATTGGGGAGCCCACTTCTAGTATTTTAAAAGAAAACTAATAACTGCTGATCCTGCATTATCTCACTGCAGGTACTTCAAAGCATAAGTAGGGTCAAGAGGAGGAACTTACAGTGATCCACTGGAATATTTTGATGTGAGAAGCCAGAGGACCAATCCCCTTTTTCTCCATTCCTGTACTGTATAATACTGCTATCAAGAAGAACAAGTGAAGGGGAAAAAAAAAAAAAAAAAGGGATGCAGGTACCAGACATAATTATTTGTGATGTTACTTAAATTCTCTTCTTGAGAAGCATATTTCAGGATAACCAAGGTCTACATTTCTAACTAAAAATTTCCACAGTCTTCTGTTCTGAAAACGCTTTCAAGCTGGTTTTCTACAGTTAAAGACAGAAGGAAAAGCGTAGCCCTGTTTTATCTCTTTTTGTACCCTCATCATTAATAGCTGTCAGTAACATGAAATACTCCAAAATTTCACTAGCTTACCTTTCCGTGATGCAAAGAGATGCTCTCCAGTATTCACATTCCAAAACCCACCTGTTCCCATTGTCAGTTTAACATCTCCTGGGTGAAAGCAGCATTCTCCAAACATGGCTGACTGCTGGTCAGCTACCTGCGTACCAACAAAAACAATACGACAAGTTAGCGGCCAGCTACCAGCTGCTGGATTTTAAAGTATCAATGCAAACACTTCAGAGTTGTGAATACAAATAGCCATTCAGAAACAAACTGAGCATTAAGAGAGGACTCATATACAATTTCTGAAGTATTTGCAGGCCATTCCAACAGTCAGATGTATCACTAGAATCAAATTACACCAGGTTTGGACACAACGTGAACATGTGTAGTATTCCTGGCAACACTGAAAAATATATTATGGAAACAAAAGAAATATTTTATGTTTCAGTATCTGACAAGGAAAAACAGGGCATTTGCAACGCCAGGGAGCAGAACAAAGCAACTTGACTTGAATTCCTCTTCTCCCAAATAGAAAGTTGAAGTTTTGAGGTCTCACCTTCCTTTTTCCCTCCTACCACTCCTGTACCAAATTATTCCCATGCTCAATTTTTTAACAGTGATGATGGTTATTAAATGTATTTACTTATGTTTGTGCCTTGGTAAAAAAGTAAACTTACAGATAAATTGAGTCTATAATTCTTTAAAAATAGCAAGAAAAATTCATGTTAGATAGATGACATTTTTTCCATTTAGCTCAATTCAAGCAGATTTTTCTACAAGTCTTATCCAAATCCTATCTACTGAGGCAAGAACATGTTATTCTCCATTTTTTTTAGTGAAAAAAAGGAAATAAAAGGTACCACAAGTGGATCTATTAACAAGTACTCTTACATTTGTGTAGAGTCTTACTGAAGTCAAGCCAGGATGGACCCCATTGCACAACTTTATATAGAACAACTCTTTTTAAGCCAGAGAGAGAGACGTTACCAGAGCTCAGAGCAGAGCCCAGCTCTGTTAAGCCCTACATTCAGTGCTTAATCCTTTGGTCATCTAACCTTAATGGACCTCAACCTCTAGAAATCCCTTCCCATTCCTCTCTCCTCCTTTCCCCCTAAGGTTGTAAACTGAGTTTTTGGAGAAAAACTCAACCAATTCTACTTGAGTTAAGTCATACAGAAGGAACAGAGAATACTTACTAAACAAGCAAGTAATAAATCAAAGATAGATAAAAAGAATATATGTACAAATATACAGATTTAAGTAAGAAAACATTTTCACTCACCACTGCCATTATTGGAATAGGTACCCCAAATATTTCAGAGTCAGCTGATCCAAAGTTGAAGCTTAAAACAAATGTTACGAAGAAACATCACAACACTAAATTGACCTTTTTGTTAAAATGAAATCGACATATCTAAGGCCTGGGTCTGCATCACATATGAACGGTAATGCTACCGATTTATTTTAAAGAAAGCATTAAAACTATCACTTTAAGAAATACTGATAGTAAAAATAAAGTTTTTGGATGTAGTGTTAAAAAAATACATCTCCATATAAAAATATTTTTTTTGTGTGTGTGTGTGTATCTGTACATTACTTGGCCTGTGCAGATTATGTAGTATTTTTCTAAAGGCAATGAATTTAACAGGTATTATATTCTTTTAAATGTGCCTTCACCGTTACCTTGTGTCTTTCACTGGAGGATAAATAGACATTGGAATGGAAAGTAAATTGCACAGAGTGGGGTTCCAAGATTTCTGAAATAATACGGAAAAAGTAAAATGTCAGCAACTCTCTCAGAAGCACAATAAATAGCAACAACATTTTTTCGGAACAGCACATACCATAAAGGGTTCAAAAACGCCTGTAGCACTGGCATTTGAGTAATCTGTAGCATACACAGAACCTACCATAAAAAAGAACAAAGTAAGATTTCAGATATCCAAATATTTGAGTCATTTTAAGCATACTTTTTCTTTAAGCATCTCAATGGCTCATATGAAATATAAACTGCGTTACGCATTGTATCACAATGATACAATGAGCACATAAACTTTACTTCCTGCTCACTATAATGTGTATATATTAATTACTTTATTTTACCCTCATGAAACTGGCTAGAAGAGAGCCGGTACTTTTGACAACATGTCCAACACTGACTGCATCACTGTCTATCATAATCTATCCAATTGCTCAGACATTAGCCCTCAGGACAGAAACTTATAATTCTTCCACATTTCTAACAATTTTTTGTTCTTTTTCTTTCACAGGTACTTTTCTTCAATAAGGCCCATTAGTTCCAGTAGTCCTCTTTAAATCTTAAATGCTTAAAAGGTTGATTACACTGAATTATTATTTCCCTTTCTGACCTTTCCAGGCAGGCCCAAAGAATAATTAATTCAGAAGTTAATTTTTTTTAAACAGTAAATATATTACAACATTCATCAATTATAAAAAAAGCACAAATTGTGAAAAATGTATTTGAATTCTAGGAAATATCAATGACAGTCATGAACATCATTACTTAGATTCCAGTATGTTTTATTAAGAGGAACTGTAACATTCACCTTTAGTCAACCTATACAGTAACCACGTGTCAACTGTTCCAAAGCAGCAGTTATTTTTTTTGGCAGCTTCTTCAGCCTGAGAACAAATATACATACAAAAAAAGTATTTACAACTGGGTACAATAAAGAAGAACATATTTCCTGATTCCTTCTCTCATTTTCTTTGTGGTTGATGATAATGTCCCCAGAAAATAAGTCTCTCATTGCCAATATTTCTTCTCAAAAAGGGCAAGTCGACTATATAAGTAATGCTATCCTATAGTTCATGCTCCTAAAAAACAACAAGCACAGTTTCTTACAGTTGCTGCAAGGGAAGAAAAGCAATTAATCTTCTACTGCAGTGGCATCAGAGCCTTTAGAAGGGAAACTTTGTAGTCTCAATTATAACAGTGGTGAAGGAGTGGTGAATAAAGAAAACAAGGTCCTGAATGCTGCACTTAAATAAATAAATAACAGAAATAGAAGAAATAAGTGCATTTTAAAATACACTTGAGACCAATAAAGACGGAGCCATCATTTTCTGGTTTATGATGTCTGTAAAGAGTTCAAAATGTTATTTTCCTTGGGATCTTTTCCCCCTTTAAAATGGGAAATTCAGGTTTCAACTAATTTCTATTAACTGATACTGTGTACAACTACAGAATTCAGCAAAAGAACACTCAAACTAGTTCACTCAAAACATGGCTGAATACATTATTCTCTGTAATTAAGAGCCATGGATTTTTGAGCTTCTTGGTTTGATAGTCACGTATTTTAAGTATCAGTACCTGACAAAATGTGGGAGAATGTTCATCTCGCACTGAAAACTCAGTAGCTGCATAACCTTCAATTCTATAATCCTCCAAATTCACACATCACATTTTCAACAGGTCTGAACAAAACATGCCAGTAAAAAAAATTATACTTGACCTTCTCAGTAATTAGTTTTGTCACACAAAATACCAGACAAAACTCAAAAGATTTTGGGGTTTCTTTACACAGGGTAGAAAACTGATGAGAACCATTTTCTTCAAAAATAACTTGAAAATTAACATAGAAAATAAGATGACTGAAGATGAATACAATATGAAGAGACAGTAAGGTTAATACAATAGGAAGAACCAAGGAAAATGGTAAGGATTAGAGCAAAGAATACAGCAACAAATAGCTCAGTGCTCATTAGGCCATTAGATTATTCCAGCACAACTTATTTTACGTGTAGTTTCCAATTTACGCTACAACAAATTGCAAAATAAATTGCAGTGTTTGATTGTTCAGTACGATATTATTTGTGGAACTGTAAACACTGGAATAAAGCAGAGTGGACAGATAAGACTTCCAGTTGAAAATAAATACAATTGTCATGCAAAACCAGAGTGCAAACAACTTTAAAACAAAGTACAATTACTACTGTGTAATTGTATGAAGTGAAATAAGGTGTTTTGGTTATGTTTCTTATGTACAAAGAAAACTTTTTACTACTACACATTTCTAGAATCAGAGGAAAAAGTTGTATAAACATGAACAGATATTTAGGTAGACAGGCTTTGAACATTAATACAGATAAAAGTCTTTCATTCTAGTTCTTTTGAGGAAAAGAACAAGCAAGACAAAACTGAAGAGGTTACAAACAACCTAAGTCACTAGCTATTATTATGATTTAAGAAAGCTATTCTTTTTCCCTTTCCAGCTTACCTCATGTATGTTTTTAAAAACCCATGACAGCTTCATAGAAGTTTGTTGTGTTGAAAAAGTAAGAAAACTTGGTACCAAATATCGATCATTCCCAGTTAAGAAATGAAGCACTGTAAAAATAACATGGATTACCTGTTTCAAAAGAAAACAATTACTTAATTTTTAATCTCTCTCTTTAAAGGCTTCTGATCAATTATCTTCGAAGGATGACAACACAGATGGAAGTTGCTGACATGAGATTAGATTCAGAAAGCTGTAATTGTTAGAGAATCCTTACATAGGATTTCAACAGATAGCCTTCCCACGACAAATACCACAGGAAAGAGCAGCTGCGCTAAGCAAGTCTGTTTTACTGACTTCCGCTGGCACGCTAATAGACTGCTCTGCGTTACGAAGACAGGTCACCTACATGAGCTCAATGCATGATGTGGTTGACAGAGTTACATACTGTTATTCCAGTTCTCCTACAGTAGACAGGCTCAATCATATTTTACTAGATTAACCAAAATTTAATCAAGTCTTCATTCACAAAAGAAATCAGTAGCAAACCCAAGAATTTAACTTCTTATTGTGCATGTGCTAGTTAGTTTCCACTTACAGGAAAAGTAACTTCATTTTTTCCACTTAGAGCAAATCTTTCTCTTCTAAAGGTATGAAGCACAAACCATAAGCAGCATAAAATGTACCTTCTACAGATAACCTGAGCAAAGAGTACATTACCTCAACAAATAAAAAACCCCAAACGCTGCCAACCAAGAACTACCTGTATCAAAAAATTGTGCTGTAGCAGTGTTAACATGCAACATTTTAATACAACAAAGAGACTAAAAAGTAACAAAATGCGTGCTAGACCTACAGATACCTTTTCCCATAATTAATTACCTTCAGGCTATCAGTACTAAATTTTTTTCTTGGTACTATCATCCATGCTAATCTTGCTCAGTTAAATGTTTTTAGGCCACAGCATGTCATATTAACATTTTAACAGGACACTTGCAGTATTTCATATATTGCCCTTACTCTTCGTAAAAACAACAGTTCTAGTACATCCAAGCAGTATCTAGCTTAGCACAGTTTTACCTTCAGCAGAAGGGACTTATTCCACGAATTCACAAGTTCAGCACTTCTTAAGTCTTGCCAACTTATGAAATTATGAAAAGGCTTCCCTGTCCTCCTGAAAAACAGTATTTGAGAATTCCCATTTAAAACTACAGAACATACACTGCCCAAAAAATTCATCATCATTCACCATTTCCAGTCAGGACACTTAACACTAGGCCAATTCCTAAAATAAGTGCATATCCTCTTGGTGGATTTGAGGAATTAGTAATAGGCATGCGGACATTTTGAGTGTGAGGCTTCTCACCAGAATTAAAAAAATACGTCTGTATTCATCTCTTCCAAAGTACTAAGAACAAAACAAGACAGACATACACTTACAAACTGTTCCAAACTGCTGTAAGGTGTGGCTGTGCAAACACAAGAGAACACGAGTGACTGACATTTGTGGCTTTCAGGTTGTGACTTGACCAAGTTCAACGTTTCTACAGTCTGCTTCTATGAGCATAAATTCATTCTAAAAAACATGCAATATACATACTTGTGCCATGTAATGAAAGTTCCTCTCTGCGTTGAGATGCCAAGACCAGCAATTTGCCTCATGTGAAGTCCCGCAGCTAAAAACCAAAACCAAACCACACACAAAAAAACATTTATTGGAAGAAACAAACAAAAATACAACTTTTACAATATAACACCTATGGAATTCTTCAGAAATTAATAATTTAAGAGAATCTAAATCTTTCCAGACTGGCCAACTAAGTGACTAGAGCAGTGAAATATCAGCAAAGTCTGCGTCAGACCAACTGATTCCAAACCAGGTGAATAAACCTGGGTATTTTACAAAAGCAGTTGTGGCACTCTGACCCTTTCCACCTTCCGAAAGGCCTGTTGATAACTTTACTTGAACAATCCCAGAGACAGGCAGGCAGGTTACATATGCCTATATAATAAATGAAAACGTGCATTTCACACGGATGAATGTGAACAAAAGCACAAACAGAAGGAATAAGTACCTTTACAAGCCTACGGAAAGAAATTCCATAAAGAAACAAAACTAGATTGATTCTGTAGGCAGTAAAGAGATTATTGTCAATATGCCACGATTTTTTACATCACTGTAATAATGACGTCTCACCTTAAATATTGTATTCCTTAAGCAATCTTTCAAAATTCCTAAGAACAAATTTGCTTAAACCACGTATCAGTGAATGCAACGAAGTATTCTTTGAAAAAAGAAGTATTTCTTCTGAAAAAATTCAGAAGTATGAAAATGTATATTTGGGATTACACCAATTTTGCTGTTAAACCTTATCTTCAAATAACTGTTACAGAACATTTTTTCTAATATATATAACTGTAAATAATTAAATATGTCCACAGCTATTTTCCAAGCAGCTCTGGTCAGCTTCCCAAGTACTTGCATGCTACCAGAAACAAAATTATGTGAGAAAAATATTAAGAAAGTCCACAGACTACCTATTTTGTCCAAAGTACTGTTACTCTGAAGGGCTCTCAGTCCCGCTACTTGAACAAATCACAGGTTAGAATCATAGAAACATAGAATCGTTTAGGTTGGAAAAGACCTTTAAGATCATCCAGTCCAACCATTAACCTACACTACCAAGTCTACTCTAAGCCAATCAAGGGTAGACTAGACTAAACCATGTCCCCAAGTGCCACATCTACCCGTTTTTTGAACACTTCCAGGGATGGGGACTCCACCAGGTTAAGCAGGTCCTGCTCATATGTGTTCTTACATTAACTTTCATGTGCAAAGTTACTCATTTGCATAAGCATATACTGCAGACTCTACAACCGACAGCCTCCAAGTGACAATTACAGAAGGGGTTTCACAGACAACAGGCACGTCTTGCTCTGCCAACCTCTACACGTGCTTCTGCACCTTCCCTTATAGTGGTCCTTGCATTCACACAGGCAGTGGTATCAAGGCCCTCAATCAGCTAACAATCACATCAGTGCTTTCGCAAGGCTACCTGCTCCAACTGCCTGCACAAGTGCTGCTGGTAGCAGGCTCGTATGGGAGGAGCACCTGGGAGTGGGTGGCTTGAGAACGGCAGTATTTCTTTTTCAGTAGCAGCTGAGTCTAAACTGAAGGCAAAGCCATACCAGTACTGCCGCAGCTCACTGTGCATTACAGTGGCACGCCTTACTCCTCCCCATCTCCACAAGCTGCACGCTCCCACCACTTTTTCTGTAACGACTATATGTTCTCTAGACCCCAGTGACAGTAGAGCTAACTTCCATTAAAGAGAAAAACAAATCAGAAGACAAAGCACAGATACTTTTCAGCTAAGCTGGTGAGCTAAGCTGTCTCCTGGAATGGTTGAATGAGTGTGAGACAGGGGTGGGACCACGCAGCCAGAAGCGGTTTCCACCTTTAGGTAGTACTGAACTACATCAGCTCATCCAGTGCATGGAATCACAGGTTTTAGCTCCACAAGCCCTGTAAACTGAAGTGCTCTTATGCCTCTTTCTGCTTCCAGACAGTCATTCCTGCCCCTGGTACCCTCTCTTGTGCTGGCACAAAAGTCCGTGAAGCTCTGCTGGCATAAACAACCGCACAGTGATTTGACTCACGAAACTGCTCTGGACCAGAAACAACCCTGTTAAAAGGCGGGTGGGACTGCCTCTTTTGACAGCAGTGCAGGCTTATGCTCACTTACATTACACAACCACTTAAAAATGACTTGCTGACAGTGTGCACATCTTGGCCACAAGAAAAGCTTCCCCTTTTAAAACCAGCTTAAAAATCTTGCTTCCTAATTTGCCCCACAAAATGGCAGTGAAGGAAGCTAGTAAGGTCTTTAGGGATTGAGGTGGCATTGCTATTCTTGTGACAGAACGGTTGTGGCTGCTGAAAAAACAGAACAAGAGCCCAAAATAATCAGCTGCAGCTTACACGTGGTAATGGTTACTTTCCCTGTCCCCTAGGCTGCCTTCCAAATGAAGAGGTAAGAGGGGTTTTGCCTTGCGCCAGGCTTGGAAGCAGAGCAACGCTTGGAGACCAAACTGCAAGAGTGCCTGAACAGGAAGAACTTTAGGCACTGAAAGAAAGAGTATGACACACACACACATGACAAGGAGGTTGGGGCACTGTGAGAAAGCGAGCTTGGGTGCAGCTGACAGGTCCATGGCATCAGCGTGGCACGGAAGGTGATCCGTGCTGGACTGCAGAATGCTGGAGCTGGTATAATGGCAAAGCTGTGGGAGTTGTAGAGAGTAAATGCACGGTTACAGCAGAATCCAGAAGAGGGGGGAAGAAAACACTTCAGAAGTTTGGCAAAAAAAGGAGTTGTGTGTGTTTTAGTGTGTGGAGAACTAGGAAATTTTAGGCTAAGTACAACCAGAACAATAATACAGAAATCAGATGCTCAGCACTGTTTGTAGTTTGAATGGGGAAAGTGAGAATATCGGGTTATAACCAAGCAAGCACAATTATGCAGCATCCTGCTTTCATTCTCTCATACATTCGCAACCACACACACAAAGCGGCAGTAGCATAATGGGGAACCAGAAGGGGAAACAAGCCTACTCTGTTTGTACACAGAGGCATCTGGAGGAAGGAAGACAGACACTGAGGAAGGATACATATACAAAAAGCTGGAGCAACAAGGCACTGTCACTGACATGTAAATCAAGTATGCACACTGCTTCTGGTTCTACTTCAATCCTAACCTGGCCCCACTGAAAGAAAAAAAAAAGTAATTGAAGTGTCCTATGCTACATAATGATTGAACAGGCTTTAAAGCATATTGTAGCCCTGCGGTCAGTGATGAGTTTTCAGTACCTTTTAAAAATAAATAATTTTATTATCTAATTAATGTTACTAATTTTGATGAATAATTAACTTCTCAAAGTTTATAAGCCATTACCTTGCACAGCCTCTTTTATTACACCAACAAACTGACTCCACAGCACTTCAGGATCTAACTCAACCCAGCCACGACGAGGATAAAGCAATTCCACCTGTTCACGAAAGACACACAGCATTGTTATGATCCCTTGTTCGCAGAAACCAGCGTTCTTGTGAAAGTTTGCGCAAACGCATTTGGTTTTGCTTTTATTTGTTCTTAATTTTCTGAATCTACTGCAAGAGAAAAAACAACAGCATTTGTCACTTTTAAAACATGGTTGAGCGTGGGTGTGTGATCCCTAGAAGACCTCCTCCGTTCAGGGGGAATAAAAAAGCCCAAACCCCCAGGAAGTGAGGAGCCTGTAAACTCTTTTGGGGCTCCAAACTGGAAACCAGCTTTCCCAGAGAGCCTTTTGGCTCCGCTGCTGAACTCGACACGGGTGCCTCTGAGCAGCTCACCAGCAGCGTGGCACAGGCGGCCGGGGAGCACCCGCCGGATGGCTTCCAGCGAGAGGGAGGGTCAGCGCCACTGAGAACATCCCCGGCCGCCTCTGAAAATCCATCAGATTCCTTACGCTTCCCCTCGCTGCAGTCTTTCCAGTGCAATAGATAACAATAAAAAAGTTAATTCTGGGGATTGTCCTGATGCCAAAATCACGGGCCATGCAAACCAAGACCAGCCTGAAACTCATGTTCCACGGTTAACGCTATTTTACATGCTATTTTACGCAGCGCTGTTACGTAACTGGACGTGTGCAAACGCAAGTCCTGCGCAAGCCTCGGCTGTGCCCTGCTAACAAGAAGTTGTTTGATTTTAAGAGGGATTAGTCGGTAAGCCACTGAAGGAAGGCAGCAGGGAAGGCGGGCGGGAGCAAGCGCTGCGAGGTAACGGGGCGAGCGCAGTGTGCACTGGTGGTGTCCCCCGTGGGGCTCCCAACCGGGTCGGGGCTTTCGTCTCCCCCGGGCCGGCCTGAGGGCGCTCGGGGA